CATACTTTTTTGTTTGTTTCTTTTTGCTGTCAACAGTGTGGCGTAGTGGTTAAGAGTGGTGGACTCTAATCTGGAGAACCGGGTTTGATTCCACACTCCTACTCCACATGAAGCCTGCTGGGTGACCTTGGGCCAGTCACTGTTCTCTCAGAACTCTCTCAGCCCCACCTGCCTCACAAGGTGCCTGTTGTGAGGAGAGGAAGGGAAGGCAATTATAAGCCACTTTGAGACACATGAGGCCTGCTGGGTGACCTTGGGTGACCTTGGCCCAGTCACTGTTCTCTCAGGACTCTCTCAGCCCGACCTGCCTCACAAGATGCCTGTTGTGGGGAGACGAAGGGAATATGATTGTAAACTGTTTTGAGACTCCTTAAGGTAGAGAAAAGCGGGGTATAGAAACCAACTCTTCTTCTTATGGCAACTCTGTGAGGTTTTCAAGGCAGGAGACATTCAGAGTTGGTTTGCCATTGCTTGCCTCCGTGTCATGACCCTCGTATTCCTTGCTAGTCTCTTATCCAAATACTAGCCAGGGCTGACCCTGCTTAGCTTCTGAGATCTATCCAGGTCAGGTTATCCTTGTGTCTATAACAGCTATGTAAATGACATACTTGCTAGCTAGTTTGGATTAGGGGTGCAGTGTGCAAATTTTGAAATCATTGCAGTCGATTATCAATGATTACCTTATGATCCCCTGTCAAGCAGTCAATCTCAACTTCAGAGCAAGCAGCCCCGAAAACGAAGTATGGAAAAGCATGGCCTTCTCCCGTCTCCCAGTCCATATGGGTGACGTAGCCTCTGATGGGAGAAGCAAATTGAACTCTTGAAATACTAGTTCACTTTCAATATATATATATTGTCCAGCTGGACTTTAATGTTAAAATATTGTTGATATGTTCTATGCTGCTCCAACATGAGCTGGACCACTGAAAGGAAACTGGTGGTGTCCCGGAATGCATGAGTGTCATGGTCATTTTTTGCTGTTTCCCATTTAAGGATTTGGTTGAGTCCTGTCTACTGCTAGAGTCACATCTGTTCTGCCTTTTCTTCTGGCCCGGGTATACAGTACCCCTGACACCTGCTGGGTGATGCTCCTTCTACATCGACTACTGAGCTTCTCCAAGGGTGCTAAAGCTGCTGCCCCTTTGAGTATGGAATTTCCACTACATCCCAAGTTCTCGGCCCTGGTGACTCTGCTGTGCAATCCAATGTAAGCATCACCCTTCAAAATATCTGGCCCAGCTGCTGGGAGTCTCTCAGGCTTGTTGGAGTGAGTGACTGAGCATGCCTGGACATGGGGAGAGCTACATCACTCTTAAGTGTGTGTATAGGTGTAATATCCTTGAATGGGATCCCTCTCTTTGTCTTAACCGGAGAGCTGCCCTCTGACCCCCCCTCTCTCTTGCTTTGTCCTCTCACTCTCTCCTCATGGCCTTCTATGAACACACATGTCTTTGCAGGTCTCTCCTGTATATACAATGTCTTCATACTCTCAGACACTCATAATGCCGGACAAGCTGGCCATTTGTGATATGGAAAGTACTCTTTAGATTAGGTTTCTCTCTTGTTTCGACTGCAACCTAAATGTGAACTAGATCTATTTGAATAAATGTAAGTTTCCCTTTTTTGGACTATACTTCTTGGGAGATTTATTTACTGCACTCAGTATCCCACTTCTATGACTGAACAAACTCTGGTCTATTAAGCAAATATCCCAATAAGGCTCCCATTTGATAATCCTAAAAGGGTAACATGGATTAACAATTCTGATTCAAATGGTTTTCCACGTAAGGCAGCAGAGAGAGCCCTTAATTCCAGGTTTGCTAGTTTGAATCCTTGCAGCTCCTGACGCCATGGGGTAAAAGCTAATGTAACGCCCACCATCACTTTCTCGGATGACTCATATAACAGGCCTGTGAGGATACGGACCCTCATTCCAAAGACGAAGTCAAGGGCTGGGGATGTGGTTTCCTTCTCTCTAAACATCAGATATGTGGAGCTCAGTTTAGACCAGGAAATGAGGACGTTCTTTCCCCAACCTGAAATGGTGCCAGGGAGCCGCTCTTCGCCCCCTGGGGATATTGACACGGGAATCTGCATTATGTCCCCGGCTAGGCAAACAGCACTTCCTAAGACCATTTAAGGTCAGGAAAACTGTGTTTGGGGATGTTTGGGGGCTTAAAATGCTTCCCACCTTGTGGTTCTGATTCAGACTGGATCCCCTTGCACCTGATTGCTAGAGAAACAGAAAATCTGGGAGCTCCGTCCATGGGATTACCATTGTCACATGACCCTTGAGTCACACGATCTGAACAGCACCTGTGATCCTCAAAGGCAGCAACTTAGAAAACAATAAAGGATTTCTTACTTGAAGTAGCCAGTAGCCGAAAGGCTGATGCTTTCCTCAAAAGCTTTTTTGGTCTGCAAGAGAAAGACCATTAGGTGACACTTGTACCAGCGGAATACAGATCAGTTCATAAGAACATAAGATAAGCCAATGTTGGATCAGGCCAATGGCCCATCCAGTCCCACACTCTGTGTCACACAGTGGCAAAAAATACCAGGTGCCATCAGGAAGTCCACCAGTGGGGCGAGGGACACTAGAAGCCCTCCCACTGTTCCCCCTCCAAGCACCAAGACTACAGAGCATCACGTGCCCCAGGCCGAGAGTTCCTATCTGTACCTTGTGGCTCACAGCCACTGAGATGGACCTCTGCTCCATATGTTTATCTAATTCATGCATAAATAAAAATGGGAGAGCGTGAAGTTCAATCTTCTAGTTCTCCACAACACAGCCAGGCTTCTTATTTTTCTTCCTATTCAAGTATGAGGGAAGGGATTATCCAACTGGAGGCAGATCTTCATTTTCTCCTTAGGAAAATCATGAAACTTTAGGGCATTTTTTTATGTTGAAGCATCCCATTCTTCTATATCAGCACAACCCAGAATTACATGAAAGTAGTATCCTAATGCTGTGCAGATGATGACTGTGAATAATTGACAGTGTACGTGTGCAATGTGGAGGGAAGGTCAAGATTATGTCAGCTTGTTTTCTCTGTCGCTCTGTAGCAGGGGGTCCCCAAGCTTTTTGAGCCTGTGGGCACCGATACGGCTGCCACAGGAAGTGGAGCTGTCCACAAAATGGCCGCCATAGTTTGCCTTCAGCCACACAGTGGAGAGCCTTGAGCTGAGGTGGCAGCCACTGCCAAAGCAATATTTTAAAAAACCTGCACAGCCAGTCAAACCGCCAGTAGTTAATCAGAAGACTTGCTGGGCAGAAGTCACACTTTGCCCCACCCACTTTCTGAGATCACTTGGTGGGCATCAGAAAAGGTGTTGGAGGGCACCCATGGGCACCACAGCAGTGACCCCCTTCTACATAAGAACATAAGAGAAGCCATGTTGGATCAGGCCAATAGCCCATCCAGTCCGACACTCTGGGTCACCCAGTGGCCAAAACCCAGTGGCCATCAGGAGGTTCACCAGCGGGGCCAGAACTCCAGAAGCCCTCCCACTGTTGCCCCCCAAGCACCAAGAATACAGACTATCACTGCCTCAGACATAAGAACATAAGAGAAGCCAATGTTGGATCAGGCCAATGGCCCATTCAGTCCGACACTCTGGGTCACCCAGTGGCCAAAACCCAGGGGCCATCAGGAGGTCCACCATTGGGGCCAAAACTCCAGAAGCCCTCCCTCTGTTTCCCCCCAGTCTTTATACACTGATTCTATGTGGTCTCCACAGAAGATCTAGTCAACATGCAGAGGTTAGGGACTGGGGCCGAGCAACATGATCTCCCTCACCCAATATGTTGATTATCCATGGCTTGGTTATTTGCATAGGGCAAAAATGAGTAGGAAAGACTGGGGAGAAATCAGTCATCTTACATGTCTGCCCCGTAAAGAGAGTCCCTTCCTGGTGAATGTTTTAGTATTACTACTTATTAAAACATTTATACTAAACATTTCCTTGTGGTTCAAGGTGGCTTACAATAACAGTTAAAAAAACATTCCCAGTTAAAACCAGAATAAAATAACAAACCCCAAATCTCTCCCTCCCTTAAAAGATGCCTGCCACTGAAACTAATCAAGTCCTTCCTCAAAAGGATAACTTCATCACCTGTCCTATTAGCATCCCCATTGAAGTAACCGAAGTACTCTGAAAATCAGGTCCCACTGCGAGAAAAAAGGCACAGATTTTAAGTAGTATCAGGACCCTCTCCGGACCAGCATTTTAGGTTTGGTCCGACCCCAAGATGATCCCTTCCACTACTGCAACTGTCCAAGACACAATCCCTGGGTCATTCTACTGCCATTTCAGAACCTCAAGACGGTGCTCATGCTATAGGGATCAGGCAACATATGGACCATGCCCCCCCCCTCTAACTTCCCTCACCTCACCCCTGCTCTTCATCTTTACCCGAACCATTCTCACTTCCAGTACATTTACTCACCTCCTTCTCCTTCCTCTATCCTTCTGCTCTCTCCCCTCTTTTCCCCACTCCCTCAGAGCTCTGCTCTGCTCCAGAGACCCACCACCACCAGCAACATGCTTCCCCCCCACACACTTTCTCTTTTCTCTCCTCAGCTCTGGGCCTTCTCTCTCCTCCCTGCCTCACTTGGCTAAACCACACACTGCCGCTCATCCCATTTCCCTCAGAAACCTCATCTCCCTGTCTTTCGCTCCCTCGAACCCCCAAACCCTTTGTCTCTTCTCCTGTTTCTCTCTTGGAGGATGCCCCACACACATCCAGCGAGGTGGTGGGTGCTGGTGGTGGTTGGCTGAGACTAGCTTAACAGGATCCACTAAGAATTAATTGCTTATCGCCTGCTTGTTTCTCCCAATTCTTGATATTTATTAGTGTTTAGTATATTCCCCAATCTTAGGCTGATTTCCCACAAGCGCTGCTCCGCGCTCACTCCTCCCTTTTGTCCTGATGGCACGTGTCAATTTCACACAAGCTGCTGCGCGGCCGCATTTCGCCCCGGAGCTTCGCGCGATTTCCCCCGCGTCTACTCAATCCTCAAAAAAACAGGAAATCGCGCAAAGCTGCGGGGTGAAATGCGGCCTCGCAGCAGCTTGTGTGAAATTGACACGTGCCATCGGACCAAAGAGAAGAGTGAGCGTGGAGCAGCGCTTGTGGGAAATCAGCCACAGTGTATTTTATTACTTTGACCTTTAACCTGCCTTCCTTTCTTGTTTTCTTTTTGTTTATGTATGTTCAATAAACATCAGATCTAGTTTCAATTAAAAGTTGACCCCCCCCCACCTCACTTCTTCAGAAATCCCCCTCCCCCCCCGATAGTGTATATACATATCAAATCCCTTGCCTGGGTACTGAAACATTAGTAGTAGGGAGTATAAATGCTCTGTAGCCCTACACTGCTCCAAAATGGAAACTTTATTAACAATACTATACTATCAAATGTCTCAAAGATTTATTGTCTTTAAGACATTTGGTAGTATAGTATTGTTAACAACAACAACAACAACAACAAACCTTTATTGGCATAACAATAGCGGCCTTGGTTAAGAGATACAGGAAAGGGAAAGAAAAACCAGTTAATTAGCTACTCATTCAGGCAGAAAAGACTTATCCTCCTATATGCACAATACAGGAAGTTTGCCACGGCTTCAATGAGATCTGCTCTGTTTGAGGCTAGAAGGTTCACAATCTTACTTCCCTCAGATTTGCCCTCCAGGGATCGCAGTATAGGATCAAGGTGATAGGCACATAAATCCCGGTAAAGTCTACAAGTCAGAAGTACATGGTCCCTTCCTTCAATCTCCTTTAGCCCACATGGGCATAACCTCTCCGAGAATGGTGTTTTTAAAAAATCTCCCATACAGCACAGCTGAGGGGAGCACATTAAAATGGGCCAGTGTGAAGACCCTTCTAATATGAAGATCAATCAAACTAGAGAAATACTCTGCAAGCGGCACATTGCGAATAAAGTTTCCATTTCAGAGCAGTTTAGGGCTACGTAACGTTTATACTCCCCTTCTACTGATTTGGCTGTGTTCCCGGTCTTTTTGTGGGTACTGAAACACGCATTTAAATTCCATATATGTGCATCCCCCCCCCCGACCCATTGGCAACACTGCCATGTTCATCTTGATAATCCGTGTAGACAAACAGGCATCAGAATGGGGATCCAACAAGCATGTGGTCCAAACAGGATAATGATTCCATTTTAAGAATACAAATGGTGCTTACCCAGTCTTCCCATTTTCCTTGTGGATTTTTTTTAATGACTGGCTCGAGGCGCTTCCGAAGAATTCGGCACGCAATCTGATTTAACAGGTGGCAAAGGAAAACAGGATGAAGTCATCACAACAATAAGACCATGTTTTATTTGCTAATATTCTAATATGAATCGTTGGCATAAAGGCCCCAGGTTGTTTCATGATCATTAGTCCAATCTTTCGTGAACTTCTGTGACTTTTCCTTGACAAAAAGAACTTCTCATAAGGTCAAAGATGTTCATCCCTCCGTAGCATTTGAGTCACTTTCAAAGGACCGTGTGCTTCGAATGTGGAATTTACTCAAAAATAAATACACATTGGAATGAACAGGACTTTCAGTCCCATTAATTTCAATGGAATTTAAACATGACCAGCTTCTTTTGGATTGGTGACTGACTATTCCAAAAAAGTATCAATCTATGATTGTATTGGTTGGATGTATATTAACTCTTGTTAGCTTCTTTGCACTGTGAAGCACAGGGATACCAATTCTTTAGAAGAAGAACAAGAAGAGATTGGATTTATACTCTTCCCTTCACTACCCAAAGGACTCTCAGAGCGGCTTACAGTCCCCTTCCCTTCCCTTCCCCTCCCAACAACCGACACCATATGAGGTAGGTGGGGCTGAGAGAGCTCTCCCAAGAACTGCCCTTGAGAGAGCAGCTCTGAAAGAACTTATGACTGACCCAAGGTCACGCCAGTAGCTGCATGTAGAAGAGTGGGGAATCAAACCCTGTTCTCCCAGATTAGAGTCCACACTCTTAACCACTACACCAAACTGGCTCTCAGTAATAAAGAGCTACATCCACTGTGCAGTAGGAGATAGAAAAGCTCAGAGATGTTACCTAGACGAGACTATAAGAGCCCCAAACAAGTGCTCTAACCTGGACGGCTCTGCCATTGGTTTCCGTGGAAATAGCTCCTGATGTGACATGTGCATTGGGTATTGGAACGGTACTTCTTTCAAAAATATGTATATAAGACAAGGGTATCATTAATTCATGGCTGGCAACCTGTTTTGAAAACAAAAGATATCATCACTTCTACTAGGAATTACAGCACAGTCTCAAACTGGGAAGGAACATAATACCTGCAATTAAAGTCAAGCAGATAAAGGAACAAATGTGTTAGAAAATCTGTGGTCCCTCTCTCTCACACACACACACACAAAAAACGAGACCTGGAACTTCTCCAGTTACCTTTACATAAGACCCAATCGGAACATATACTTAAAACTGCACTGGCAAAACAGCTTTTGGCTCTGTAGCTCTATTTTGTTATATATATGGAAGCTGGATGTTTGTCTTACCTGTAACACCTTGGTGTAAAGCCCTTGTCCCAGCTCACTTCCACCACAATGCACCAACACTGACCCATCTACATAGATGTTCACCAGAGCTGCAGCCTACAGAGAAACGATCGACTTCATTAATGCTACTAACATCATACTAGAGCTTAGATGTCCAAAAACTTGGTGGTTGGTCAAAGCCAACTTACAATTGATCCCGCATGAGGTTGCCAAGGCAGGAGACAAACAAGGGTGGCTTGCCATTGCCTGTCTCTGCATAGCAGCCCATCCAGGGCTGACCCTGCTTAGCTTCTGAGATCTGGCGAGATCAGTCTAGCAGGTCATCCTGGTCGGGATGGGAGCAAAGCTACACCTTGTTCCAGGAGAACAACTGGCAGGTCGGTAACAGGGAAGGAGAGGAGGAGGAGGAGGAGATTGGATTTATAACCCACCCTTCACTCGGAGTCTCAGAGCGGTTTACAATCTCCTTTCCCTTCCCCTCCCCACCACAGACACCCTGTGAGGTAGGTGGGGCTGAGAGAGCTCTTGACAGAAACTGTTCTTTTTCAAGGACAGCTCTGAGAGAAATATGGCTTGCCCAAGGCCATCCAGCAGCTGCAAGTGGAGGAATGGGGAATATTAAAGTTGCCAACAGGCCTGGAGAAGAATGTCCTTTCCCTTTAGGACAGGCTCAAAATGTAGTAATGGGCAGCTGGAGTTCTCTTACACAGTGGTAAATAACATCCCACTAAGCCTCTGTTAAGGGGACAGGACATTTTCCTCCAGGCCTGTTGGTAACCTTAACTAATATAGCACACTGATTAAAAGCCATGAGCTACAAAGATCCTGTGGACTAAGGGATATCCGCATTTCAGTTGTCCACCTAAAACCGAGATAATGACATGGACCTACCATGCAGGGCTATTTTAAGGACTGCTGAGTCTATTTATTTGTTTCCTTCATACAGACCCTGACTTTTCCTTCAGTGAGGACCCAAAGCACCTTACATCACTCTCCTCTACTCCATGTTTACCCTCACAACAAAGCTGTGAGGTAGGTGAGCCTGAGAGTGTGTGACTGGCCCAAGGTCACCCAGCCGGCTCCCAAGGCAGATTTGGGATTCAAACCTGGGCCTCCGAGATCCGACTCTGACACTAACCATTACATTACTTTGGCTCTATAGACATTAACTTATGTGAAGAACTCAGGAAAAGTAATTTATTAACAGCAACGGTTTTAGCCCTAGCTTAATCCTACACCATACCATTTCTTGAGGTAGAAAGTCAGGGTGTAAATTGTCTTGATAAACACATTTTCATGGGGGACAAGCGGAGAATATTGAACAGTCCTTCTGCCCTGGCACCATTTCCCCACATAAATCGTAACATCTGGCAGCTGCACTGTAGAAAATGTCTTTAAAATATTAGTGCAAGGTCTTAGCAGTCAGGCTGGAGGCAAAGGGTCATAAATTGAGCCAAGAGCCTACTGCAGAAGTTCAGGGTGGTTCGGCATCTGGCATTCGCTCCACATTTTCTCAATGGGGAGGAAAAGGTACAGCTCAAAACCACATTCAAATACCCCAGGGCAATGCAAAGTCACCCCTGAACAGCTATAAATCTATGTAGAAGGTACCATTAAACCCGATGATCAAAGAAAGCGAACGCAGCATGCAGTGTCGAGGGTACCATAAAATATGATGATGAAAGAAAGTGAAAGCAGCATGCAATGCAGAGGGGAATTTCTGTTCCAAGGTGGGTTTCGTAAAACGACAGAGGGAAAAGCCAATGCAGAATTGCCCTCAGTCATCACAGACATGACTCAGAGCGATTCTGCATCTAGCATTGGCTCCACATGTTCTCAACTGGGAGGAAAAGGTGCAGCTCAAAACCACACTCAAATACCTCCGGGCAATGCCTACTGACTGCAAAGTCACCCCTGAGCGGCCGTAAAATGGCCATACATCTATGCAGAAGGTACAATAAAATCTGACAATCAACGAACTCGAAAGTGGCATGGAGTGTGGAGGGTACCATAAAACCCGATAATCAAAGGAAATGAAAGCAGCGTCTGATGCAGAGGGGAATTTCTGTTCCAATGTGGGTTTCGTAAAACAACTCCCCCCATGTCTCTGAGGGAGTAGCTGGATTTCCACAACTCTAGTTAATCCTGTGTCAATCATGAAATGTAAATTCCTCCTTTCACAAAGCAGGGCTGTGAACACCTCTGATTGACCGTCTGTTCTCTCGGCAAGAAAGTCATGCCCTCTACTAATTTCAAAGTGGGGGAAACGGAACAATCCTTAAAGAAAAAAGTACCACCTACACTTAGCACTTGGCTAACCATGCAGGCAAATGGAATAAAATAAACTGGACAGCCTGTCCATCACTCCTCTTCCCAATTAGCTTTCACTCTAGAGAGATGTAATCACAAAAGGAATTGAAGCAGGAAGTAGTAAAATTTGCCTCTTAACAGATCCTCACAGATACTCGTGTTTCTATACATGTATAATCTCACCAGGGGATGCCCAGTCACCATCTCCTGGAAGTGACATCAGTCCTCTCTAGGAATCACCAAAACTCTCTGGTTTTACCATAGGGTTTCTGGCAATTCCTAGAGAGCCATGGCATCACTTCCTAGGGAAACCTGGAAGTATATCACACCATTGCCGATGCCTGCCCCATTCCAGGTCTCCACTGGTTGCTAGATGGCCAAGGGAACTCTACTTTAGAGACTCAAAAACTCACCTGATGTCTATGTGTTTCACTGAATCCATTTGAAAACAACATGGGAATGATGGCAATCCCTTTCTTCTTCCAGTAGTTTTGCTGGTTAAATTCCTCTATTGCTTTTCTTCTGTTGTGATAATCAGACCTCTTGAAGCATTCTTTCCAACATTCAACCAGATTCCTTGGATCAATCTTTTGTTTGTAGGGAGTGACAGTAACCGTTTTGTACATGTTCATCTCCCGGACCTTCACACGGAGACATGCAAGTAACATTTGTCATTTTATCTGCTCATGCTTTAGCAACACCTGTTTTATCTGTTTATATTATTTTCTGTAGCCATATGCACCTTTCTAATGGTTTTATAGATTCATACAATCCCAGAGTTGGAAGGGGCCATACAGGACATCTAGTCCAACCCCCTGCTCCATGCAGGATCACCCTACAGCATCCCTGACAAGGGTTTGTCCAGCCGCTGCTTGAAGACTGCCAGTGAGGGGGAGCTCACCACCTCCCCAGGCAGCTGATTCCACTGCTGCACAACTCTGACTGTCAAAAAGTTTTTTTCCTAACATCCAGCTGGTATCCATGCCTTTCCCATATGTATTCCTGTATCATGCATCTGATCCCGTTTGCAATTTGCTTTTGCAGCGTATTACGCAGCAATGCTTTTCAGTAACTGTCACATACCCCCTGGGGTGATAAGAACCTGTAGAAACAGAGGCCTCCTGCTTAAGGGGACTGGATGAACAAGAACCAAGTACCTTTTAAAATTTTGGAAGAAGGCAGGAGGTAAGTATTCATGACTGTGATAATGTTCCCTCTAAGCTGTGGAGAGTCTTGTGAGCAAAAATTCTACTTGGTGAGCTACTGGCATTAAAGTTGTGAGCGAGTCATTTGGCTGCTGCATAAATTAGTTTGCTCTGGAGCCATCCCTCCTGAGCTAAGACAAAAATGTGTGAGCCGGTGGCTAAAAAACTGTGAGCTAGCTCACACTAACTCAGCTTAGAGGGAACACTGGTGATAAACTATGATGATGAACGGGGCAGGATGTACAACCTGTCAAGAATCAGAAAACCCCTCCTGCTCTTCACCACCATCACTGCTCTCAAAATACAGAAAATCACAACTCATGGAAACGGCATGTGTAAATTCATCCTAAAATAAGGAACGGAAACTTTCCAAGGGTTTAAACTTGCAACCATTGGAGTTTATATTCCGATGACTGACGTGTGTCATGAACGTGGGGCTGTGTGTGTCTGAATTGGCATCCTGAGGGCAAAACTACACGTTATGAGAGAAATTCGGAGCTCCCAACCTCATGTTTCCCTTGAAGTGCTAATGTAGGAATTGGGGATAGGGCATTTCCAAGGGATAATGGTGCAAGAAAGAGAATATTTGAGTTTCCTCTGTCCACGATATATCCCTGCAAATGCCCTCTGGCCAGACCATCCTTAATTCCCCAATCAGGTCCCAAAACTGCAAGGAAGACTGGCTGGGGAAAGAGGGCCTCAGAAGCAGGGAGGCATTTGGTGTCGACAGCGACGCCTGTGTGGGTGTACATCCGCCTGGTGCTGCGCGAGCTGCACTGGCTGCCTATTGATTTCCAGATCCATTTCAAAGTGTTGGTACTTACCTTCAAAGCCCTATACGGCCAGGGGCCAGCATACCTTCGAGACCGCCTCTCCTCATATGAGCCCCACAGAGCACTGAGGTCCACCAATCAACATCTTTTGGTGGTCCCCGGCCCCAGGGACATCCGACTTGCCTCAACCAAAGACCTGGACCCTGCCTGGTGGAATGAGCTCCCGAGTGAGATCAGGGCCCTGCAGGATTTATTACAATTCCGCAGGGCCTGCAAGACGGAGCTCTTCCACCGGGCTTTCGGTTGAGCAGCGGGCATCCCTCCCCCGGGTCAGCCCTATTTACAGCTTGGGTCGGCCCCTATTTTATAGCCTGGGTCTGAGATCCTAAACTGTACAGATTTCTGAGAAACTTATTCCCAGTACTATCAGCCGCTGAGGCAATTGTCTTTTTATAAGAGGTGTGTGTGTGTGTGTATGTATACACACACACACACATATATAAATATAATATATAATATAATAAAATGCTGGGAAAGATTGAAGGTCAAAGAAGACGGGGACAGCAAAGGATGAGATGGTTAGACAGTGTCATAGATGCAACGAACATGAAACTGAGCCAACTTCAGAGGACAGCGGAAGACAGGAAGGCCTGGCGTGATCTGATCCATGGGGTCGCGAAGAGTCGGACTCGACTGTGCGACTGAACAACAAAATGTAATATATGTTTTAACATGGTTTTAATTGTATTGTATTGATATTATTGTACTATATTTATATTGTTGGAACCCACCCTGAGCCCATTAAGGGGAGGGCGGGATACAAATCCAATAAATAAATAAATAAAATTTACATGGGGAAATTGGTAGGTACTGCCTCTCCAACTAGTTGTCCTCTACGAGTGCCTAAACATCCCTGTATTTGTGGGCCTGAGAATAAGTATTTGCAAAACATGTAGTTTCACCATGAATCAAATAAGAACGGCCCCGACATGACTTATCATTCCTTTACTTACTTGATCCTGAGGCAAGCCAAGCTCATCCGCCACTGCTGCAACCCACATTTCTGTAGAAAGGGCCGTTTGTGGGAAACCGAATCCTCGAAATGCGGTATTTGATGGCAAATTAGTCTTGCAGACATGTCCGCAACATCGGTAGTTGGGGATGTGGTAAGCATTAAAACTTTTTAGCACCAGATGGTCTAACACCTAATGCATAAAGACAGATGATAGATTTATAATCATGAGTTCTGTGCCTCGGGTTCTGCAAAGAAGTGTAAAAAAAGGTCTTCCTGGGTGAAAGTTTTGCAGCTCTGGCTTAACTGGTCAGTTGGGGAGGCGATAGACCTAACACTTAACAGTGCCACGCTAAGTAACGACCTTCTAAATTCTTTGAAGTCAGTGGGCTTAGAACAGTGTAACTCCACTTAGGATGGCACCGTGGGTGTGCTGGTGTTGTGCTGTGGCCCAAGAAATCCCAGGATGTATATTGTCTCTACTGTGAGCTCCATAGGTGGCGGTAGGCAATAAAGCATTCTCTTGCAACCTGAGAACTCCATCTCCGGATAATACTGACATACCTGACAGGATTGCGGCAAGGATTAAATCTTGACAATGTTCTCAAAATGCTTTGTGTGCTCCAAAGCTTGGCAAAAATGTAAGCATTAAGGAGCCCTGTTCAACAGCCATCAAAGGTAAGGGAATCCAGGTACATTACACTTAATTAAAATTTGTACTGTTTAGACCTGACAAGACGACTGAGAACTGCTCAATGTGTTCTGGAAGGAGGTTATTTGAGCCACAGGTATGTTCCTGCTCTAACAGGTAAAAGCCAAGACATTCCTCCTCGCTTACCTGTCAGGACTGAATGCAATTTCATCCCATTTTCCTAGCTGTGAATGTTCATCTACTTTATGAGAAACTTACTGTCATGGTTTGCTTTTTTCTGAGACCCCTTATATGTAACACCTATAAAGGCATCTCTCTGTAGTATTCTGAGGTCACGTGTGTTATGCTGCCCCTTTACATTCCTTACTTTTGCTGCCACCAAAGGCTATTGGCTTGGAATTCTTAGATGGATTCAAAGAACGGGACGGCATAGTTATATTCGGTAGAATGACGGAACGGCCAACGTGTGGGGGTGGCTCTGAGGTAAAAGGGGACCCTTTTCTCTAAATAAAACAGCTGTTCTCTTAAACGTGAATAGAGTTTATTTAGAAGTAAAAGAGCATAATGATTTCAGTATAGTTCATAAGCGTAATGGTTTCAGATAGGTACATAAGCGTGATGGTTTCAGATAGGTATATAAGCGTAATGGTTTCAGAGAGGTACCGTTCTCTTCCTGTTTCTAAAGTTCCTTAAATAGACCTAGCCACAAAGGTTTATTTTCTCACTTGCCATGTAGATCAATAACATCCACAACAGATTTCTCTCACACTCCACAGCACCTTATTATTCACCCACTCTGCTCTCTTCCTTCCTCTCTCACACACTCTCTGAACAAACTGTCCCTTCAAGCCCGTCAAACTCCTCCCCCTCGGGTACTGCTGCCATCCAATCCCAACACACTTCAATCACCCATTTAGCCCCCCTCTTTCTTACTCTAGAGGCCTGCATTTTAAATGACAGCAACATACATGTAAAACCGCACATTAAACTCACAGAAATAAAACACACAAAATAGTTTCATAGCTCACCACACTTACCACTTCAGACACATCTCTTGTAGCCCCACCATTTACATAGTAGTTGAGGTCAGCAGCTTTGATTTCGCCATCGTTCATGAATCCCACCTAAAAATAAAACATTGCAGTAGTGGGAAGCAATAAACATTACTAATTCGCTGAAAATTGTGGGATTTTTTCCTGTGGGCTACAAAGGAATGAGGATTTGCTACATTTAAAAGTAGGCTTCAATACATGTTTGATTTTCTTGTAATTGTTTTTATTATAGGCTTTCTAAATTGAAAAGACAGCAGTGCTATGTTTTAAGTAGGGTTGCCAGCCTCCAGGTGGGGCCTGGAGATCTCCCGCTTTTACAACTGATCTCCAGCTGACAGAGATCAGCTCCCCTGGAGAGAATGGCTGTTTTGAAGGGTGGACTCTGTGGCATCATACCATGCTGAGGTCCTTCCCCTCCCCAAACTCCACCCTCTCCTGGATCCACCCCCAAAGTCTCCAGGTATTTTCCAACCCAGACCTGGCGACCCTAGTTTTAACAAAAATATTATGCTGTGGTTTTCTTTGAGTATGTGTGTCATGACCCCCTGTGGTTTGCCACCTTCGTCTGCTACCACTCTGTCTTCATTTTATAATATGTCAGTGATATACGGTTGTCAGCTCCAGGTTTGGAAATTTCAAGGACTTAGACCAGAGAATATACAAATTACAGCTCACGACAGACCAGTGTGGATAATGTTATGTGTGACCTAAGAACCTCAGAGTCAGTATTACTTACTTTATATTTCCCAAAAAAAGGATATCGACCTCCAGTTATGAACATATCGTCATCTCGTTCCAGAATAAAACGTACTGGACAGCCAGTCCTAATTAAAAAACAGAAAGAGGCTCATGCTAACTTCAGGACAAAGATCAAATTCAGGTTGCACACTCAGAACCTGAAAAGTGCTGAAAGTCCTCAATTTAACACCATTCATAAAATTATCTGTACAAAATACTGTATTTAATTAAAATGATGATTACTCCCCCCCTCTGTATGTCATCAAGAAAAAGGGGGCAACTTATAGTTACATACAAATTACATGCATGTAAAGTGGTACAGAAAATTATGCATCATTTTTTCAGGGGGGTCACCTTACGTTCATGGAAGCAAATACAGTACAGAAAATGAAACTGACTACTAATAGAAATTGCCTTACACGATGACGTTTATATATCACAGTTTATCTGATGCAATAAGTTTTTGTGGCCCTTTCTTACACACCCAGGGAAATGCTGATTGCCACTTTGGTGTCAGGAAGCAATTTTTCTCCAGGCCAGTTTGGCCAGGGGTCCTGGAGGGTTTGGGTTTGGGGTTTTTTTTTTTGCCATCTTCTGGGTATGGAACAGCAATTTTATTATTTTTTTAATTTTATTATTTTATTATTTATTTATTTATTATTTTATTAATTTTATTATTTTTATTGATGTAAGCCGCCCTGAGCCGCTTCGGCGGGAGGGCGGGATAAAAATCAAACAAACAAACAAACAAACAAATAAATAAATAAATAAATCACTGAAGGTGTAGAGGGGGAGATATTTGTGAATTTCCTGCATAGTGCAGAGGGTTGGACTACAGGACCCTGGAGCTCCCTTCCAACTCTATGATTCCATTATTCTAAATGGGGGTTGGAGGTTTTGAGGGGTTTTTTTGCCTGTTATCTTTATTTATTTACATTTATTCCGAAAATGAATACTTAACAGAATATCACTGAAGGTGTAGAGGGGGAGATATTTGTGAATTTCCTGCATAGTGCAGAGGGTTGGACTACAGGACCCTGGAGCTCCCTTCCAACTCTATGATTCCATTATTCTAAATGGGGGTTGGAGGTTTTGAGGGGGTTTTCTACCTGTTATCTTTATTTACATTTATTCCGAAAATGAATACTTTAAAGAATGATGTGAAGCTGGAGTTTGTTATGTAGGTACACCTTAGCATTTTCTTTAGTGTACCAAGACAGGTGGTGATTCTGTACCTGAAAGGCACAGGTCGAGTTCAGACTGGCAGTTTGGCCCGATATAGGCACGTTTCACAAACGGATTAAAGGGGCCCCGTTCACACAGACACAGCTGTCAGGCGTTCCCCAGCCGTACTCAACCCGTCTCGTAACGCTTCCCTCCCGAGTTTAAAAAAATACCAGGTGGAGGTGGTAGCAAACACTGGAGAGCGCGTTGATCCCGCTTCCTGGATGTGTGCACGCTAAAAGCTGCAAATAAGCTGCATTGCTGCGCCTATGCGCATGTCGCCGAAGTGAAAAAAAAGCCACTTACAGCCACGCCTCTGCCAGGGGTGGGCCAACAGTGCAAATGCTCTGCCAGGGGCAGGCCAACAGTGCAAATCCCTCCTCCCCGGTATGCTCCCGCATAAGTTGGTTCAGTGTGACTGGGAATACCCGGAACATGTTGTTCCGGGTCTTTTTGCCACGATTCCCTCGTGCTTCTTACTGCCAGTCTGAACTCAGCCACACTCTCTGTTACAGTTAACCCTCAGACTCTTTTTATAGAATCACAGAATCATAGAGTTGGAAGGGGCCATACAGACCATCTAGTCCAGTGATGGCAAACCTTTTAGAGACCGAGTGCCCAAACTGCGACCCAAAACCCACTTATTTATCACAAAGTGCCAACACGGCAATTTAGCCTGAATACTAAGGTTTTACTTTAGAAAAAGCAACTCATACATTAACTTAAGATGATCCAAACCCTTTTTCTTTGATTCTATAAAATCACAATTCTTACTTGTGTGCGGCAACCGCTGCGGCACTAGCAAAATAGGCAGGTCTTGTTATTTTCCCCCCAAAAGCTCCACCAGCGCGTCTTAAGTGGCACCGGATCCTATTGGAGTGGACACCCAACGCCGAGGCTATCAGTTGCTGCAACAGAAGAGGAAGCAAACTTTTACACAGACCTGTCCCATAGTTATTTACCACATGTTCATTTTGGAGAAGGCAATGATGTCTGGTGTACAAAGAAAGAGAAGAAGAAGACCCTGCAGGGGGCAGCAAGAAGACAATTAGATAGGATGGGGAGGTCAGCAGCACCTTCTCTCCTGTTGAGTGCCCTTCCTTGTCTGTCTCCAGATTGCTGCTCTCTGGGCGACTTCCACCTTCTTCTTGGAAGCGCCACACTCAGGCTGATTCTGCACTGGCTTTCCCCCTCTGTTGTTTTACGAAACCCACGTTGGAACAGAAATTCCCCTCTGCATTGCGTGCCGCTGTCGCTTCCTTTGATCATAGGATTTTATGGTAGCCTCCACACTCCACATCGCTTTCACTTTCTTTGATCATAGGATTTTATGGTAGCCTCCACACTCCACACCGCTTTCACTTTCTTTGATCATTGGATTTTATTGTACCTTCTGCATAGATTTATGGCCGTTTTATGGCCGTCCAGGGGTGACTCTGCAGTCAGTACGGCATTGTCCCGAGGTATTTGAATATGCTTTTGAGCTACACTTTTCCCTCCCAGTTGAGAAAATGCGGAGCCAACGCTAGATGCAGAATCGCCCTCTCTCTCAGCTAGAGATGTAGTTAGGAACCTTCCTCTGTCTCTCCTCTTTCCTGTCAAGTATGTTGATTCCTAAATAAAACTTCATCTACTCTTTAATCAAGTTGCGCACCGTTGCTGTGTTTATTACTCTGCCAACCGCTCATTCGAACCCTCCACGTTTTATTTCATCTTTTTGCATATCCCGTACATAAATGCTGAGGGGGAAATCAATATTTTTCCCTGTGGTCATTTCCGGGTAGAAATTAGGGCTCATGATGAGCAGTTATTAGTCCCAGTGAGGACAAAGGAGAGGCACTCATATTGTACATGCCTTTTTTCTACACTAAGGGTAACACCAGCGGGGTGGGGCACCGTCATCACGAAAACTGTGATAATGGGGGTTGGAGGTTTTGAGGGGTTTTTTTGCCTGTTATCTTTATTTATTTACATTTATTCCGAAAATGAATACTTAAAAGAATGATGTGAAGCTGGAGTTTGTTATGTAGGTACACCTTAGCATTTTCTTTAGTGTACCAAGACAGGTGGTGATTCTGTACCTGAGAGACACAGGTCGAGTTCAGACTGGCAGTTTGGCCCGATATAGGCACGTTTCACAAACGGATTAAAGGGGCCCCGTTCACACAGACACAGCTGTCAGGCGTTCCCCAGCCGTACTCAACCCGTCTCGTAACGCTTCCCTCCCGAGTTTAAAAAAATACCAGGTGGAGGTGGTAGCAAACCCTGGAGAGCGCGTTGATCTCGCTTCCTGGATGTGTGCATGCTAAAAGCTGCAAATAAGCCGCATTGCTGCGGCTATGCGCATGTCGCTGAAGTGAAAAAAAGCCACTTACAGCCACGCCTCTGCCAGGGGCGGGCCAACAGTGCAAATGCCTCCTCCCCGGTATGCTCCTGCATAAGTTGGTTCAGTGTGACTGGGAATACCCGGAAAAAGTTGTTACGGGTCTTTTTTCCACGATTCCCTCATGCTTTATACTGCCAGTCTGAACTCAGCCACACTCTCTGTTACAGTTAACCCTCAGACTCTTTTTATAGAATCACAGAATCATAGAGTTGGAAGGGGCCATACAGACCATCTAGTCCAGTGATGGCAAACCTTTTAGAGACCTCTGTAGTCTGGAGATCGGCTGGAATTCTGGGAGATCTCCAGGCCCCACCTGGAGGTTGGCAGCCCTAACTGAGATACCCCCATCACACATCTCCCGTGTAACATGCAGTCTGACCCTTAGGTCTCTTGCACCAAAAACAACAAAGAGATCTGTGCCACGTTAAAGACTAACCAATTTACTGTGACTTCAGCTCTTCAAGGCAGAGCCCATTGCATCCGACGCATTAAGTGATGGCAGGGTAATTATCACAGCAACGGTGCACAACCTGATTAAAGAGCAGGTTTATTTAGGAATTAACATACTTGATAGGAAAGAGGAGAGACAGAGATAGGCAAGAGACATTCCTAGGTGGTTTGCCTTTGCCTGCCTCTGCATTGCGACCCTGGACTTCCTAGGTGGTCTCCCATCCAAGTATGTATTGGGATATTTGGTTAATATAACAGAGTCTGCCGAGTCATCGAAGCGTGATACGGAGTGCAGTACATAAATATTCCAAAAAGCGTATTGCAAAAAAGGTAAACTTGCATTTATTCAAGTAGCTCCAGTTCACGTTTGGGTTGCAGTCGGAACGAGAGAGAGAAGCCTCACTTTCCGTATCACAAATGGCCAGCTAATCTGGCATCGTGTGTGTGGGAGTAGGAGAGCACTGTCTCTACAGGAGAGGCCATGGAAGGCCATGTAAAGTCAGTGAGAGGACATAGGGAGAGAGGAGCAGTCAGAGGGCAGCGCCCAGGTTAAGACAAAAAAGAGAAGTCATCTCCTTCAAGGAGAACATCCATACACCCTTAGAGTGTGGCGTTGCCCCCCAGTGTCCAGGCATGCTTAGTTGCTCACTCCAATAGTATTAACCAAGGCTGGTCTTGCTTAGCCTCCCAGATCTGATGATCGGGCTAGTCTGGGTCATCCCGATCAGGGCCTACCATGGTCACTGTTGGCAAAGTTTCAACATGATTACAGTCCAAGGCTTTGAGTTACCTGTACTCTTGAAGCATCCTGTGTGGAGACGTAGACTATCATTTCTTGGTCCTCTTTTCTCGGAATGACAACAGTAGTATTTGTTTCCATGTAAAAAGAGCTGGTAAGGCTGGGAGGCTGGAAAGTCCTTAAGGGTGCTGGCTTGCATAAGTGCTGGTCGTGGACCGTCACACAAGCTCCTGCAACAAGGCTGGTCCCTCCTGAGCCTCCCAGATCTGATGATCGGGCTAGTCTGGGCCATCCCGATCAGGGCCTACCATGGTCACTGTTGGCAAAGTTTCAACATGATTACAGTCCAAGGCTTTGAGTTACCTGTACTCTTGAAGCATCCTGTGTGGAGACGTAGACTATCATTTCTTGGTCCTCTTTTCTCGGAATGACAACAGTACTATTTGTTTCCATGTAAAAATGTTTTTGCCCTCCAATATGGCTTTCACCTGTCAAGAGCAAACAAATAGGGAAGGACGTGAGCCAATCTTAACCGTTTTCCCATTGTATATCCAGTTTCCCCATTGTATATCGGCACCAGATTTTTCAAAAATGTCCCCAAATATACTCATGCAATATCAGCTAGGCCACCTTGGGCTCATCCACTTGCTCATTCTCCAATGTGACATTTGTCATCATGTTCCCATAATTTTTTCAGTGCTGCTGCCCAAATGTATTCTAAACCAGTTCCTTTTCCCGAGTGTGTGATTGTGTGGGGTGGGGGGTAGGGGGGAGCCTTTAATCACTGCATTCCACCTGCTGCAGAGCAGGCTTATTAGTTTCATTTTTTTATAATTGTGCAAACATGAACCTTAAAATGATTAACCAACAAAGGAAAAAGAGTAGAGTAATTGAAGCTTCCACAATTTTGAGAGCCCGTTTGGTGTAGTGGTTAGGAGTGCAGACTCTAATCTGGGAGAACCGGGTTTGATTCTCCACTCCTCTACATTCAGCTGCTGGGTGTGACCTTGGGTCACTCACAAGTCCTCTCAGAGCTGTTCTCTCAAGGGCAGTCCTCGAAAGAGCTCTCTCAGCCCCACCTTCCTCACAGGGTGTCTGTTGTGGGGAGGAGAAGGGAAAGGCGACTGTAAGCCACTCTGAGACTCCGAGTGAAGGGCGGGGTATAGGAGTCCACGCTCCTAACCACTACACCAAACTGGCTCTCAGCTGAATCCAGGGCTACTTTTGGGCAGGAACGCACAGGAACGGAGTTCCGGCTGGCTCCTGAGTTGGCCACGCCCAGCAGAAACTCATTAGCATAATAGGCCACACCCAACAGAAACTCATTAGGATTGGCTACATAAGGGATGTGTGGCCTAATATGCAAAGGAGTTCCTGCTACAAAAAAAAGCCCTGGGTTTTGACAACAAACAAGGTAAACAGAATAAGAAGCAAAAGGTGGGTGTGGCTGGATGACCACACTTCTGGTAACGTGGGGTGTGTGGCCTAATATGCTAATGTGCTGTGCTGTCAGGGGTGTGACTGGATATGCTAATGAATTTCTGTTGTTGGGTGTGGCCTATTATGCTAATGAGTTCCTGCTGGGCTTTTTCTACAAAAAAACATTGCCGTCTTCATTTTGTGATTCTTTAGATATGTGGAATATTTTCCTAAAAAAACCTCATTGACTTCGCTTCTGCTAAAGAGCAGGATCGTGTCTAATGTGAACTACATAATATACCTTTTCCCCTGTCGATCAGCTCCCCGATGTGCAAATATCATCATCCAACAGGCTTGATGAACAAGAAAGAAACCAACATGCAAATAAGCAAAAAGTACTTTGGCCAACCTCAAACACCAAAGGGGCCTGCCCACTTTGTATGAGGGTATGATAGAGTATTCCGGATGCCATGTGTAGGTACAGCGGTACTCAATTCATCTTCCTCATTAACAGTGCCACCCTAAGCCAGGCTACTCAAAAACTTACACAAGTCTATTCAGTGAGGCTTCGTCCCTGGAAATTTTTCTTAGAATGGCACTGTAAGCATCCTCAAACAAGGCACTGACTCTCTTCAGACATCACATTAAACCAGAATTAAATTCAACTATAGTTTAAGGCAGGGGTGGCCAAACTGCAGCTTGGGAGCCACATGCGGCCAGGCCCATAGCCAAGATTCTGTAATTCAGGGGGCCTTTAAATAAATCAGGGGGCAGTGATGTCACAAAATAGAAAATAAAATAAAATTTTTAAAACTCACTTTTGCGGCGTTTGCACTCTGCTTGCCTACATGAGGAAGCAAGCCATGCTTGGGGAAGGGAAGGTGGTGGGGAGTCCTCCAGGTGGCCCAGAGAGCCAGGGGGCCTGCGGCTGGGGAAGTGAAGGGGAGGCACGCCTCCCGGATCGGTCTTCCCTTCCTCAGCCAGTGTTCCCCTCCCTGGGTAGGCTTGAGGTGTGGGGGGGAGCAGAGAAAGAAAGCAACTTTAACTTTAAATGTGTTCTCGAAAGCCCTCCCCAAGCCGCCTTCAAGGAAGCATATGTCTCTTTAAATATTATTATCAATATCTGTTTTTACCCCTTTTGTTTTTGAATTTAACGTCAATGAAAAGCAAATTTGCATATTTTCCAATAAAATTTGCATATTTTCCAATAAAAACATGGGTGTGATATTTGTTCACGACTTGCGGCTCTCAGACATCTGATGTTTCTTCTATGTGGCTCTTACGTTAAGCGAGTTTGGCCACCCTTGGTTTAAGGTGATGTCTGAAGTGAGTCAGTGCCTTGTTAGAGGATGCTTACACTGTGATAGCTTGAATGCACCCCTCTCTGCTAACAGTGGTTAGTTAGGGTCCTTCAGACCAGGTTCTGATGTTTATTAGCCACGGTTAGTCTTAACCAATGTTCCCTCTAAGCTGAGTTAGTGTGAGCTAGCTCACACTAACTCAGCTTAGAGGGAACCCTGGTCTTAACTACGGTTTTGCATGAGGTTTCAATCTTGGCTTAATCAAGGTTGAATCCTGGGCTTGGTTAAAGTGAGTGAAACTAGTGACTTGATTAAAGGGAGTGAAACCAGTATTCACTGAGGCGAACTGGGATTTGAGTGATTGTCTGTGTCTGTTATGTCTGAACCTTAGCATCCCTTAGCATAATAGAGGCTTGCTCTGAAGATTGCTAAGGTCACTCATATGAACTTCCTCGAACAGTCTAAAGTGCTGTATAAATGCTACTTACTGTTATAAAACTGGTACAGAAAGGAAGATTGTATGGGTTATGTAATCATAGCACTACCAAAGGAGGAAAGCACCAATGAAGAGAACTATGCCTGATTCAAGAGACTTCAATTCAACCTAATACAAGGATGAAACCTTATGAAGCTTTGTGATTCAGAAACTTAAATAATGTGACCGATGTTTCATTTTTAAAAACTTTTTAGCAAATCATCCTTTTATTTAAATTTAGTTTAAAATTACAACACTAAAGCCACAATTAACAATCTGTTACACAACCAAAAACCACAATGGCCAATCATCTAAACTGTGTTGCATTGGGGGAATTACATCCTTAACACATAGAAATTCTAAGACTGGTTTCCATATTTTGTCATATTCACATAGAGGGACTACCATACAATCACACACACACACACAAATGGATTATGCATAATCCAACCCATCAGAAATTATACCCAGTTTTTCTGGTACCATTTTTTAAGCAAGGATCCCATGAAGGATTTCCAGTTCCTGGCAATGACCAAGCCAGCAGAAGCAACCAATGTAGAGACAAAAAAAAATTGTCTTTTTATCAAGCAAACTTTTGGAGAATAAGGCAATGGAAGACCCATGATGTTGGATATCTCTTTATGAACCACCTTCTAAAAGTCCAGAACCAGATGGCATTCCCACCACATATGTAAAACAGTGCCTTCCTGCTCACAGGATCTCCAACATAGTGGGCTCAAAGACTTGTTCATCAGGTTTAATTTGTGTGGTGTTACCCAATTAGATAACAATGACATTTCATGATATAAACCTGTAGGACTACAGATTGCTACATTTCCAGTGCAATCCTATACAGAGTTACTCCAGTTACTACTTCAACTCAATGGGTTTAGATTGAGGGAACTGTGCATAGAATTGTCCTGTTGTCTAATAGCACACTGCAGGAATAGAGATCACACAGATTTTGAAATAATGGCACAGCTCTATTACAAGGGTAGGCCGACTTCCATCTTGCATGGTCTGCTTTGTTATTTAAATAAGGATCATCATGGTGCACTAGGGATGCCAGACCTCCCAGCATCCCTGCTCTTTGCCCACTAGTTTTTCAGGCACCCCTGGGAGGAAATGGGGGCAGAAATGGAGTGCATGCTGCTGCACTGATATACATTTCGGTAAAAACCAGAAGTGACGAAGTGGATGCTCTAAAGTGTTTGAAGTCGCCCCTTCTTACCAGAAATGACATCAACATGCTGGCGCAATGCTGGCACACCAGGTGTCATCCCCAATTTCTCCTGAGGGTTGCCAGCTGTAACTGCCAGCTACTGATGTACAGTAAATGTACAAAGCAAAAATGTGTACTCAGGAATACTTAACTGAGGAATAAAAAACGGATGCGAAGTGATCACTCTCGCCTATGAACATGCTGGATCAGACCAAGTTCCACCAAGCCCAATATTCTTTTTAAGATCCTACCAGCAGTTGGCACTGGATGATAACACCAGCAATTGGCATGTAGCCCTCCTGGAGACCATAACTTCACTTCTGTCACTCATGTTTTGTTTATTATGTCTCAGACACAATTCTTCACTTTTCCTCCTCAGTTTCTTGATCTGAGGCTACACATCCAGCTCCAAGTTGACAGTGACACCACCTTGTAAGCATCTGGAGAGCTTTCCCCGCAGCTCCTTTAAATGGATGGGAAGCCATCTATTCCAACAGCCAGTTGCTCGTAAAATACCTTGAAGTCTTATACCAAAAGGCTGGTTTTTACCTTAATTGTCAGAATCGGTTCCAGGTCTTGATAGTGTATGTTCACTTTTCTGGTGGCTTCCTTTGCAAGTTCATAGGTCTCCGCAACCACACCGCAGATAATGTGACCGACGTATATTACCTGCAGGGCATAACCAAACAACAGAAAGTAAGGAGAACGGTTTCATCACAATGGCAGCAACAACGGGTTTTTCAATCTGCTTTGTTCAGTCTAAGAAAGCAATTTTTTAATGGTGTTCTCAGTAACCCTGAGGTTCCTTGCTTCCCTTGGAAGGCAATTTGCCTCACACTGCTGGTGGGGGGCTTCCAACAGTGGGAAGGCTTCTGGAGTTCTGGCCCTGCTAGTGGCACCTGGGTTTTGGCCACGGTGTGACACAGAGTGTTGGACTGGATAGGCCATTGGCCTGATCCAACATGGCTTCTCTTATGTTCTGTCTGTCTGTCTGTCTGTCTGTCTGTCTGTCTGTCTCTATCTATCTATCTATCTATCTATCTATCTATCTATCTATCTATCTATCTATCTATCTATCTATCTATCATCTCTGGGGCAGTGATGTTCTGTATTCTTGGTACTTGGGGGGGGAACAGTGGGAGGGCTTCTGGAGTTCTAGCCCCGCTGGTGGACTTCCTGATGGCACCTGGGTTTTGGCTACTGTGTGACACTGAGTGTTGGACTGGATGGGCCATTGGCCTGATCCAACATGGCTTTTCTTATGTTCTTAAATCTTTCCCTGTAATGTGCCACCAGATAAAAGTATTGTATTCTAGAGTGATTGTGCTTTGTTTGTGTGAGGTAACGGCAAGGCCCCTCAGGCTTGATTAGTGCTTCATTTGACTGATTGTGCATTCTAGAACATTCCTCAGAATTTCTGTAATCTGGTTGTTCACTAGCAGACAAAGCAATGTGGGAAATGTTTCCTGATGAAATCTGGTGTTCTACGGTAAACACAAGAAATGCTATCCAATGATTCTTTCTCACTTTATCAGGATAGTTGTAAATTGGTCTCTTGGGTAGGCAGAAAGGTATAGAAGTCAAAAAGTCCACACCAACAAATACCTCATCTTCAGCAAACACCTTCTCATGTTCATCACCATTTTCCCCTGGAATATCAGCGGCTGATACCACAGTGACCACCCCTGGTGTTTCTAAGGCTGCTGAGGCATCGATAGATCTGGAAAGGGGAAAGGACGATTAATGTCCTAATTCAAGGGACCACGAGGTGTAATGGTAAACTGAACAGTTGAATGTAAGAAGCATTCAAAAGCTAAAATATCTACATGTTAAAATTTGGGTATTGATTATCCTTTTTTTTTGGTAGTTTCATTCAGTCACAGTTTTCTCACTCAAGCTCTTAATTTCGTCACTCACAGAATCTTCGCATGGGCTCGTTTGCTGGTCACCACCGCCATGTAGAGTTGTCCGTCTATTGGACCGATGTCATCAATGTAGACGGCCTCACCAGTGGCATGCTTAATCCCAGACTGATGCATGATGGGACGCCCCACTGGGTCCTGAGGAGGCTGCTGGGGGTCAACTTCCTGTCAAAGAGTAAGGCGTCCCATACTATATAGATCATATCAGGAAGCATTACTCAGAGGTTTTAGGGGTGGTTCCAACCACCCTCTACAGAACCTTCCTCCAGGTTGAATGGCCTTTCCTTTAATGGACGGTCCACTTTATTTGGAGGAATGTTTCTTAGGCTGGAGAAAGTCTTCCATCCTAGCTCAGGGGAATGTAAGGATAGGGGTGGGATCCATGCCATCTACTGATTTCACTTGGCCACAAGAGGAGGCTGAATTTCAGCCTGTACTGGCTAAAGCAGAGGTGTCAAGCACATTTCTTACAAGGGCCGGATCTGACATAAATGTCACTTTGTCAGTCTGGGCCATGTATGCCATAAAACTTAATGCCAAGTCCTTATAAAGTTTATAAGGTTTATAAGGTTTATAAGGACACAGGAAATAAGAATATTATTTTTTACTCAAACATGCTTAAAATATTAACACTCTAACAGTACTTCCTTACATCAGCTCCCTGATGCCCCCCCTCCCGCTTCCACCGCCCATTACACATTAGCACTGGGACAGTGTAAAGGACATAAGGCACACCCTATGTCATCTGGCAATAAAGGTAATCAGTTGCTCACAGGCCAGATAAGAGTGCTGGATGAGCTGGTTCCGGCCCACGGGCCATATGTTTGACACCTCTACGCTAAATATTGAGCCCACAACTTGAAGAACACTATTACTAACTGGCAAAGCTTCGTCTCGCTGAAGGATACCAATATAATTGGCACCACATTAGCTCTTAGAATGACGTAGTGCCCTCCAGTGTCCAGGCAGGCTGAGTTGCTCACTCCAATGAGAAGAGCACCGTAACTGCTATGAAAATTACTCCACTGACCTGATATTCTTGCATGCCCTGTGGGGGTTGGTCATGGAACTCGTCCAAGGCACTCAAATTTATCTTTGGCAAGTCAGGATACTTGAATGGGTACTGTAGAAAGGAAAACTCTTTCAGAAAACAATATATTGAAGCAATATTTTCAAAGCTAGCTTTTATGGAAATGTTTTAAAAGCAGCCTACTAGCCTGCTTTCCGTTACCATCAGTAAAAATTCTCAGAAAGCCACCTCGAATGGCTGCTGATATGGGGAAAATATCAATTTATACTATCCTAATAAATAATTGTTATATTTAAGGCACTGTGACATTTACTGGATTTGATGCAAAAAAAAGAAAACACCATGCATTTTTGGTACACTGGAAACAAGATCAGTTTTATACTGCCTTTCCCCCCTATACGTATAAGAATAACTAGGTAAAAATGTGAATTTGTTAGCTGGGATGGTGTTCTGTTAACAGGGCAGGAAGCAGGAAAAGGAAAGGCCAAAAAACTTTTGTGGGGAGATCCATCACCTGGAGCCATCCTCCCTGAGCTAAGAAAAAAATGTGTGAGCTGGAGGCTAAAAAACTGTGAGCTAACTCACACTAACTCCACTTAGAGGGAACACTGCTTGCCAGTCCATGTGGACTGAGAGATGGTCACGCTCTTTGTTCTATGCAAATGTGTACTCCATAGCAGAGACGACAAGTTATCAAATGATCAGTGGGGAGAAAAGCAAGCTTGGTCTGCTCTTGTGCCTTTAACAACAGCTCATTTTGCAGGAATCCAAACAGTGTGTAGACCAAGCCACGATTGAAAATGTTAAGTTATTTATTATAGAGCCCAGGACTGCTCACATGGAGAAGGATGCTCTGTATTCTTGGTGCTTGGGGAGGGGGGGGACATTGGGAGATCTTCTAGTGTCCTGGCCCCACTGATGGACCTCCTGATGGCACCTGGTATTTTTGGCCACTGTGTGACAGAGTGTTGGACTGGATGGGCCATTAGCCTGAACCAACATTGGCTTCTCTTATGTAAACATCTTATGTGAACAATCTTCCCTGAACAATCTGCCAGTCTTGCCCTTGCAATGTGGCAAGCCCCCCAGGTGGCACAGATGGCTAATACAGTACTTGCCCATAGGGAGCTTTTCATGACATGTGGCTTATACGGACTGAGTGCCATCTGTCAAATATGAACTCTACATCCGCACAGATACACAAGGTGATCCTTCTAGTGTCCTGGCCCCACTGATGGGCCTCCTGATGGCACCTGGTATTTTTGGCCACTGTGTGACAGAGTGTTGGACTGGATGGGCCATTAGCCTGATCCAACATTGGCTTCTCTTATGTTCTCTTATGTAAACATCTTGTGTGAACAATCAAAAATCTGCCAGTCTTGCCCTTGCAATGTGGCAAGCCCCCCAGGTGGCACAGATGGCTAGTACAGTACTTGCCCATAGGGAGCTTTTCATGACATGTGGCTTATACGGACTGAGTGCCATCTGTCAAATATGAACTCTACATCCGCACAGATACACAAGGTGATCTCACCATGCACTTTAAGCCTTGTAGCACTTCCAAATAGAATCTGAAAAAGAAGCTGACAAGTAGAGTTCGTCTGTATTCCACTTTCCCACCTACTGCTGAAGGAGAGAGCTGAATTTCTTCAAGAATGAGCCTGCAAGCTTCATCGAACATCTGCTCATTCCAGTTTCTGGGGGGGACATAATATGCAAACGCACAGGCTTATTTACTCACTTGTAGATCTAGATAAAACTTAGCAAGAAGGGCTGTTCTGACAAGATGCGCCAGAGGACCACCGTACCTTCCTCGTAGCTTCTGAGAGGTGTTCGGGGCGCTCACTGTGGTACAGCCAATGCCTCCATATAAAATCGTCAGGTCCTCGATGACATCAGTGCCCGGCCGGAACCGGACTTGCATTGCCGAATTGATCACTGACAACGCGTTCTTCCTCCGCTCGGCTTGTCGGAACGCGGACACAAATTCATCCTGGCAAGGCAAGGAAAAATCTGGTCATTTTACCATCTACGCCAGGATAATTTCCTAATTGGCCATGCCGTTGGTCCCTCTTTCCAGGACCTGCCTACCCAGGAATCATTCCAGCCTACATATGTACATAAGTGCCATCAAGTCGCAACCAAGTTATGGCAGCCCCAACAAGGGGTTTTCAAGGCAAGTGAGAAGCAGAGGTGGTTTGCCAGTGCTTTTCTCTGCAGCGTCTGCCTTGGTGGTCTCCCATCCAAGTACCAACCCTGCTTAGCTTCTGAGATCTGACAAGACTGGGCTATACCGTTCCACCTTCCCTCCCATTCCAACCTAAGAAACTTCTGTTTTAGCTGTCACTATCATATGTGTTCATAGATTTCTGTACTGCTCCAAAGATTGGATAAACATATGGAGCAGAGGTCCATCAGCGGCTATTAGCCACAAGATATAGAGGGAACACTATGTTTGGGGCAGTGATGCTCTGTACTCTTAGTGCTTTGGGGGCAACAGTGGGAGGGCTTCTGGAGTTCTGGCCCCACTGGTGGACCTCCTGATGGTACCTGGGTTTTTGCCACTGTGTGACACAGAGTGTTGGACAGGATGGGCCATTGGCTTGATCCAGCATGGCTCCTCTAATGTTCTTATGACCAACAAAGTTTATTTGGCCACAGATGACAATGGGGCAAAAGGAACCACCATATACAACTGGAGCAGAAATGCCTCTATCATCCTGTTTAGAACTGTTAAAAAGTGTCAACAGGCAATGACATGCAGATTGCTTAGATGGATGAATTCTAGAACTCCCTGATACTTAATACTCGTACAACCTGATTTTATATTGGGATTCTGAAATAGGAATTCCTGCCAGACAAAATGCACAATATTGCTGAAGGTTTATAGTGGTGAGGGGAGAAGGATAAAAAATGCTCTTACCTTCTTTGAGAATGGAATAAAAACCGAGACTATGACCTCTTTAGGTAAAAGGTCTGCCTCTGGCAATCGTTCAAGGAATTCACCGTTCAGGGGAATCTGTCGTGTTCCATCTATTAGAAAAAAGTAAAGCCTTTGCATAATGTGCACTTTGCAGATATGACTCTTACATAGGGCATGAGAGTAAAACCCCCCACAATATATATATCTATATATACTCTGAATTAATATAAGATGAATAAATATCACACCAGGCGTGTTCAAAGATCTTATTACAAACAGAAACATTTAGTATAATCACTAACTTATATTCTAATAGCCAAGTCACCAAATCTTTGAATACTTAAATCCGGTGACTGGAGCTGTGAACGGCCAAGACAGATCTTTCTACAAACCTGAGCAGGGCCTCAGGTTCGCACGAAAATGTGAAATCTTTAAAAAAAAAATTACACTGGGGAGTTTTAAAAAACCCGAAAATGATCAAAGGAGTGCCTGTAGCTTTAAAAAATGGATTCTCTCAGTGGTTGTTGCTAGGCAACCACAGTATTCCAAGCTTGGTTCTGTCAGTAAAAGGCAGGGGTAGGGGGCAGAGCCCTTTTCAGGCCTATTTTGGCCTTTGAGGGAGGAATCTTTGGGGCTAGGCCTGACAAGAGTTGCCAGCTCCAGGTTCGGAAATTCCTAGAGATTGTGTGGTGGAGACTGAGGAGGGCAGGGTTTAGAGAGGGGAGAGGCCTCAGCCAGATATAATGCAGATAAAGGTAGGTTGGCTGTTGGGTGGGAAGGAGATAGGGTTGCCAACTCCAGGTTGGGAAATTACTTTGAGATTTGAGGGGTGGAACCTGGGGAGGGTGGGGTTTGAGGATCGGAGGGACATCAGACATATATATAATGGAGGGAGGAGTATATAATGCCATATACTCCTCCCTCCAAAGCAGCCATTTCCTCCATGGGAACTACCCCTGCCAACCTCCAGTTAAGGGCTGGAGATCACCTAGAATTACAACTGTTCTTCAGATGTCAGAGATCAGTTCTGCTGGAGAAAATGGCTGCTTTGAAGGATGGACTCTATGGCATTATACCCTGCTGAGGTTGCTTGCCTCCCCAGACCTCACCCTCCCAAGACTCCACCCCCAAATCTCTAGGAATTTCCCATCCTGGAACTGTGAGAGAGGTAGGGAAGAGAGGAGGAAGCAAAGGTGGGAAGAATGGGATAGCCGCCCCACAAGTTTCTTGCAGGTTCCCACTTGTTACACTATTACACAACTATTCTCGGTTAGCAGTCTTGCAGTGCCATCCTAGACAGAGTCACACCTTTCTAGCAACACTATCCTAAGCATGAACTAAATGGACTTAGACCGGTATAACTCTGGCACTGCCCACAACCTTCATTTCCCACTAGAGTTAAGGTAGTGTGCTCAGAGCTTTGTAGGTTCAATCAGCATACTTGTTAAGAGAGTGAACTCTTCCCCCACAAGAACAGAAAAAAAAATAGTTTTGCACGTTTTTCTTCTCTTCCCATCTGCTACTGTTTTTCTGTTGACCCTTACGGGGGATGGCACCGATGGCTGTAATATAAACCTCCTATACACCCTCTTGTCCAATTATCAATGTGTCTAAATCATGTTTTATTAAGACAGTAAGGCCATTTACCTGTTGATGCCAGATTGAGGATAGCTTTCCCAGCTGCCAGGACGGGATTCAGATGCCAAGGTGACCCTCTACTTACAATGTGTCCTCCTAAGGACTGACAAAAAAGGATATTACTACTACTACTACTACTACTACTACTACTACTACTACTACTACTACTACTACTACTACTACTACTACTACTACTACTACTACTACTACTACTACTACTACTACTACTACTACTACTACTACTACTACTACTACTACTACTACTACTACTACTACTACTACTGATTGTCACACATAGCCATACAGGCCTTGTCATTTCCTTTCCTCCCTTTCAATCTTTCTAGTATGGTCCATGGCAGATTCTTAGCAACAGTACTAGAGCTATTTATAGGAACAGGAACAGTACTAGAGCTATTTATAGGAACACTATGGTTTCGTGTAGTGGTTAAGTGTGCGGACTCTAATCTGGGAGAACTGGGTTTGATTCCCCACTCCTCCGCTTGCAGCTGCTGGATGACCTTGGGCAAGCCATAGTTCTGTTAGAACTGTCCTTGAAAGGGCAGTTCTCTCAGAGCTCTCTCAACCCCACCTTCCTCACAGGGTGTCTGTTGTGGGGAGGGGAAGGGAAAGGAGTTTGTAAGCTGCTCTGAGACTCCGAGTGAAGGGCAGGCATAAATCCAATCTTCTTCTCTTCTCTTTCTGGGACAGTTCTACTACCATGCTCTTCAAAGCTAGGTAACACATTACATAATGGGCAGAGCCAGTTTGGTGTAGTGGTTAAGTGCACGGACTCTAATCTGGGAGAACCGGGTTTGATTCCCCACTCCTCCACTTGCACCTGGCTGGATGACCTTGGGCAAGCCATGGTTCTGATAAGAGCTGTTCTTGAAAAAGAGCAGTTTCTGTCAAGAGCTCTCTCAGCCCCACCTACCACACAGGGTGTCTGTTGTGGGGAGGGGAAGGGAAAGGAGTTTGTAAGCTGCTTTGAGACACCTTTGGGTAGTGAATGGCGGGGTTAAAATCCAATCTCCTCCTCCTCCTCCTCCTCCTCCTCCTCTTCTTCTTCTTCTTCTTCTTCTTCGAAGCTCAGGTGCCTTCCCTGAGCTTTGAAGGCTGTCTCCTCAAGGTGAGACCAAGGGATATGAGGTAATCTGCACTTTGTGAAAATCAACCTTTGGGAAGACCTACAGCCAGATTCCTGATCTGTTCTCCGGCCAGGGTTCTCAGCTGCTTCAGCAGAGTGTGGTAGAGCTTCGTCTTCTCCGCTGGGAGTTCTGGGACCACATTTAACAGGATGTCCCTCAGCTGGGCCAAGTGGGTTGCCGCACCGATCACTAGCCCTGGAACAAAATAATATTCAGCAGGCATTATATTTTTGGTACCCACAGTCAGCAAGTAGGGTTGGTTTCAGAATTGGTTTTCATTAGAGATGCAGGAAACAGAAGCTGAAGTTACAAACTCTCTGTGTGTGTGTGTGTGTGTGTGTGTTACTGGTACAAGTAATATATAAAGTCACCTGCTAAATATATATGCAAACATACACAAATATATAAATCATATCTATCTGCTGCATCTTATAACTAACTTGTTCTGTTGGTTCATTTTCTGTTGTTTGTTTTCATTTTACAAAATCCCACCTTTCTGCCCTCATAAGGGCCACCAAGGTGTCAAACAAATTAAAATACACACAATAAAATTCACATTTAAAAAACATTGAAGCTACCAACAAAAAACTTCATTAAAACAATTAAAACCAAGAGCTAATAGGCTATAATAATCACTAATCTTAGCTGCACTGAAGACAATGGAGGCCAAAAATATTAAAGCTTGTCTGTTCATATACAGTGGGTGGGAAGTATCATTTTATTTAGCTCTTCAATAAAGTTTATTGGTCAACTGAAAAACCAAAACCCCAATCCCAGGTATTTGCCCACAGTGGCTTCTTAGGTACACTGAACACTTACCATTGTCTGTCCTGTAGACAACATGCAGATCTCGAATCCTTGCAGGATAAAGGATAACTGGATAATAAATGCCCAGTTTTTTCACATCAAGTCCTAAAGGGGGTGAAATCAGAACCAGAGGTCTGGGTGATTAAAGTGAAATTAGGCAAAACAGTAGCAGAACAGGGCTTTTAGATTTGGTTGGAACAAAAGGCTGAAAGGAAGGTAAAGGGGTGATTTCAAGTGAGAAACAGCAGGTGGACGAAAAGTGATGAACCACTCCTCTGTTTACACACACACAGTATCCCTCTCCACCTTCCCCTGTGGTCAGCATTTGGTCATCGATCTATTATAATCCCACCTAGTTCCTTTTTCAGAATGATACTGAATGTTTCTAGAACTGGTAAAAGGACTGTGCAGATTCTGGGGATCTGTAATTAGCCATTTGAAAGAATCTAGTGTTTTCTGTTACATCAAGTTAGATGGAGAATCAAATTTTCAATTCTTATGTTAAGAAAACCTTCCGGTACCTCAAAGATTGGCACAGCAGGGAGAAGATAAGGCAGTTATTCTCCTTAATCTACATTTCTATCTGTAGAGAATTTAGTTTAAGGCATCATACCAGTGAAGTTCACTTTAAATGTTTTGTAGGATCACCAGAGAGCTCAGTGCATGGACAATTGCTGTCATAGGCAGTTATTCTCCTTAATCTAAGTTTCTATCTGTAGAGAATTAAACTTTAGGCATCATACCAGTGAAGTTCACTTGAAATGTTTTGTAGGATCACCGGAGAGCTCAGTGCATGGACAATTGCTGTCAGGCATCTGTTTCCAGTGACATTACTCATGAAGGGCCACTTGACCAAGACTCTTTATATGGTGGAAGCGATTTCCTTGGTTCTCATATGTCAACTTCTCACCTACAACTTCCAGTGGCTTCCATTGGAGACAGGGCTGCTGCCGACATACAATGAAGCAGGCCAGCTGCCAAGGCCCAGGGCTTTCAGAGGGCCAACCTAGGGTTGCCAGAACCAAGTTGGGGGTGGGGGATCCCCCAGTTTGGAGCCCCTTCCCCCACTGCATGGCTATCAGAAACCAGGGGAAAGTACCCCCAAAACAGGCAAGAAACCAAATATCAATGCAACATACCTACGTCACCTGGAAGTGATGTAGGCACAGCGGTGATGTTGGGGATGGTGCTCTGGGTTTTGGGCAAAACTCTGTGGTAAGAAGCTAATTCTACCATAGAGGTTTTGCCCACAAACCAGAGCATCGCCCTCAATGTCCCTACATCGCTTCCAGGTGACGTAGGCACGTCGCCCCAATATCCCTGACATGCCTATGTCATTGCGTTTATTTCTGGCTTCTTCCCTCCCTGCTCCCAGTAAGTGCTCCCCCATCCCCCGCCCGCTCATCTGACGGACATGGCAACCGTATACCAATCTATGCATGGCAATGGTGATCCTGGTGACACCACCTTCAGCCGCATGTACTGCCCAGCACCGTCAATCAAAGGGCAGTGTGGACAGCTGTAAGTATGAGCACTGGGAAGGCCTGGGAGCTGGGGAAGGATGCACAGGCAGGTGGGGACACACCGTTGGGGACAGAAATGGAAATGCATGCAGGGGCCCTGGGCAATCTCTGCCCAGGAGGAAATATAAAGGCCACACCAGTAACTAAGAGATAAAAAATAAGGCTAAGGCTGATGGTGCAAAAGGGTATTTTATTACTTGGGCTGCGGTCACACGGAACATTAGCCATGCAAGAGAGACGGAAGACAGGCGGATTTTCTGGGCGCGATCTCACCGGCACATCTGGGAAGCGTAGCGCTTCCGCGGCACAACCGAGGCTTCCCGCCGAAAACGCGCAGCAAAAAACTAGTACCTCGGAGGTACTAGTTTCCAGAAACCGTGGGGCAAGGGCGCGTTTCCGGTGGCATCCGGCGCCCGCCCATGTCCCCTTGCGAAAAAGGTTCCCCCCCCAAGTCTCCATGGATGCGCACACGCACCCAACGGAGCATGCGCATTTGTCGTGTACACAAAAAAAGAAAACCAGTTTGCCACACCGCGCGCTTCTTCGTTGCGCGCAGGCATGTCCTGTGATCGGCACCTCTCCCTACCCACGGAACCTCCACGGAACCTCCACGGTACCTCCACAGGACCTCCACAGGTCTGATTGCTTAACCGCGCAGGGGCAAACAGCCACGCCCCCCCCCCCCCCGCAGTTTCCTGCCCGTGTGACTGGAGCCTTAGCTAAAAATTCCCTACAAGCATACGTGGCTACTGATCTTGTACTCTTGTTGAGGGGACACTGAAGGACTAGGAGATTCCCCTGAAGAAGCCCCTTTGGTTAAATGCATAGAGAAGTTTTAGCCGAACAATAAAAAATAATTTTTACTTTGCTTGCACTCTCTGCCCAGTGCCGCCCAAAACTCGAAACCTGCGCTGATTGGAGACGTAATTCTTTGCTGCCATCTTGTTTCATTTTATTTTGTTGGGTTTTAATCATGTATTTATTCTTTTTATTTCTGTTGTGAGCCACCTGAGCCCATCATGGGTTGGAGCAGGATAGAAGTACAATAAATAAATAGAATAAATAAATAATAAATAATTGCATTGTGTTATGCCCACTCTTTACCTACCTATACTTGTGTTCCCTACCACAAGAGGGGCCATTGGGTACTTGGCTTTCAGGCCCAGAAGTTCCTGGAGTGTTACAGGAGAAATCCATGTACTCCTTTCTCCGTTGAAAACCAGAGTTCTTCGTTTGCTCTCTTCAGCGATTCTCTGTAGGGAAGATCCAAAACAATACATCACCTTTGGAACAATATTAATACCACATCAACAGGTTTTTAAGGCAGAAAGAAGCACTCTTTAATGCTTAACTGTATCTTGTTACTGTTGGACCAAACTCCCTGTCGACTGCGAAGTGTGTGTGATTAAAAATGATATATGTTGTCCTCCCTTACCCCCATCATTGTTAGTCCCGTGTCAATACATGAGTAACTGTAAATCGCTCAGAGCCGGCAGCTCTGCAAGGATTGAGTGATCAATAAATTGAAAAATTGGGGGGGGGGTAGCCAAAATGTGGAGGAACTTGTATTTTTTCTTACTATGATGTCAGAAACCTATACAAACTTGTACCTTTTTGAAAAGGGCATAGGAAAAAATTAGAGATAAGTTTTCAAACTAACTTGCATTGTCATGGATTGGGGTGGAAAAGAACAAGGGATCAGATTGCTGGAGTGAGTGACTTAGCAGCCTGGACATTGAGGGCTGCTACATCCAGAGGTCATTTTGGGGGGGATCGCGGGGGATCGCAGTTCCCCCGGGTGAGGTACGGGGGGCGGGGCACATGAAGAAGCCCTGCC